AGCAAAGCGGGTTGAGCGTTAAAGGCCATGCTCACAATAAACCGACTCATGAGAGTTTCTAGGGGTTAGCCCAGCCCCCCCTAACCGCGGCCATCACGGTTCCTCTCACGTAGGTAAGTCCTCAAAGGGTACTACAGCTGTTTATTTAATACCCCCCACAATACAGGCGTTAGACTTATTAAGAGTAAAACTCAGCCTAGCCAACTGTATCATAAGAGCATCGTCATCATAGAGAAGGGGTAGTAGCAAATGCTACATAATGATATATAAATATATCTAGGTCGATGCTCCACACGAGAGTCACTTGTCCAGCTTGTTTCTACCACATTGAACCGACATTGGGACTACGTCTCCAAATAAGGGTTGGGTTGCCGCTGTCAGTGACCTCATCTATGGGCTTAACCCCATCTCCCTCGATGAATCCAGAACCACACTCCTGGATAATCCCTTAGTCAAAGGGTCATCAAGATTCTTTTCACAGACTTTACAAAGTCTAGAATCATAACTTTGCCTAGCAGGCGTTGTATTTATTTATCAAGTTCTTATTTTGTAATTAGTCCATCATATTGTTTGAAATTAACATTAGGTCATGATCTATGATCATAAAAGATCATAGTCTATCATATTGTTTGAAATTAACATTAGGTCATGATCTATGATCATAAAAGATCATAGTCTATGTCTGAAGATGTTGACCTTAATATCTGAACATTTCAAACTAATGTGGAACTAAAAATTCTGCAGTTATGAATATGCACATACATGAATGAAATTAATAATAGATACATGCAGAGCATAATAGGATTTTGTATCTTAAAAAATATTTTCGTAGCTTAAAATATATTTCATACTTCATAATTCAAATGCATAATTGGTTGCCTACAAAAGAGACCGTCCAAATTTAAATCGGTTGCCTACAAATGAGACCTTCCAAATTTAAATTGGTTGTCTACAAAGGAGACCTTCCAAATTTATGTTGCCATTTTTCTAGTACCACCTCTTATACAAATAATAATAATAATAATAATAATAATTGTACATACGTGCTTTAAATTTTCAAGTGCATTCTTGCATAAAACCTTGCAATTAATCATGTAACAAATGCAAGTTATCTAAAAGGACATATAAACATTTATTGCAATATCCATCATAACGCAATAAAAGAGATGAACTTTACATTTGAAGATTTGAAATATAATCCATCATATAAAATAGAATTTTTAAAAATGCACCACTTTGATTTGGTTCGCTCATATATTGATCATTTATCATTAGACAATATATGATGCAAGAAGCCTAATTAAATAAATGCATATGAATTTTTCTCATAATTCTGGCCCTCTTATTCCAAACCAAAAACTCCTAAAGTGAAAAGATTAAAGTTTTACCCGGGTAGTTAGCCAGGTAAGGATAGTAATAGAGGTTGATCAAAGATCAATTAAGTACCTCGTTCCTTGCAGAGTGCGTTACGCAACCCTTAAACCTTGCCTTAGACACCAACTAATCCAAAAAAACTTAAATCGGTTCACTCAATGAGTTTTTGTTCCTTAACAGTATATAGAAACTTTAAATTATTTCATGCAAGCATTTAATTTGCCTAGCAACTATACTGCAAACATATGTTGGATAAGGCCGAGGAGGGGTTTACCTATTGATGTTCGAACCTCATGATTTTCATGTCTTGAGAGTAAAAACTCATCTGCTGCAGACAACTGCCACAGAAGTTGCTGAACAAATTTGCATTCACTTTTACCACCTTCTGTACTAAGCTTATTAGATGCATAAATACACTAATGTATGAAATTATTAATAGAAGGCATCATATTATTGATAGCTTAAAGAAATAAAAGTATTAAACCATGAACAAATCCAGATATTTCAAAGCATCTATTTTGTTTTCTTTATTCTTGTCAAAACCATGCATATGAGACTTTCAAACATAAATAAGTATTAAAAGCTCAAATTATTTATTGGTGATCATCAACGTTCAAATACAGAGCATATTCACTAGCACAAGGGAATAAGGGTAGGTTTTAGATGATTCTAACAAATATAAACTAGGCTTTTAGAAACCAATAAAGGTTCTTTGATATTCGTAACTTACAATAATTATTGATTATAAACCAACTATAAGACAAATGTAATTAACTGTTAAATTAAATTAACAGAAATATTTAGCTACAATTTTTTAATTATTAATTTTTTTTTAAATAACCAAAACTGTTTACATGAACAGTAACTTTTTAAACAAAATGAACAGTGCCGTTTTCAAAATAAATGAACAGTAATATCATTTTTAAAATTAAACAGTACCGTCATTTTTTAAGAATGAACAGTAACAACATTTTTATAAATGAGCATTAACATTCTTAAAAATAAATAAATAGTAACGTTCTTTTAAAAATAAACAGTAACGTTCATTAAAATGAATGAACAGTAACGCCATTTTTTTAAAAGATGAACAGTAACATTCATTAAAATAAATGAACGGTAAAGTTTTTTTTTTTAAACATTAAAAACTGTTTTAAATGAACAGTAATGTTTTTTAAATAAAATTAAAAACTGTTTTTTTTAATGAACAATACAATCTTTATTTTTGGAATGAACAGTAACAGTTACATTTTTTTTCAAATTTTATAACATCAAATCAATAATACTAATAGATAAACAAATATATAATTAAAGAAATTACATTTTCTTTGTGTAAACAACAACTATAAAATTCCCTCAGTTTTTTTTTTTTTGGTAAACAGTAACAAAAACTTTTTTTTTTATTTTAACAAAAAATTAATTAATAGATAAGCAATTTAGTAGCAATTTTCTTTTTGTTTTTTTTTAAATCCGGATGAACAGTAACCATCTCGAATGAACAGTAACTTTAAAAATTATTTTTCCGGATTTAAATCGAAAGCTATAAACATCTCAATCTTCTAGATTGTTGGAAATTTATCAAATAATTAAAAATTATAGCATGCAGATAAATCCAAAAAATTAAAAACAATTAAAACTGGCCTGAACGGGAGCAGTCGTGTATTCACTGCCCTAGAAGATTGAGAACCCGCCTATCGCCCTGGCGCAGATGGTTCCCTCCCCCTAGCGGTAAAAAACCCCGGAAACGGCCGACCTCTACACTCGGGCGAGAGTGCAGAGCTTCAGCTCAGATGAAGGAAGTTGCCCATAAAATAAAACTAAGATGTAGATGAAAATAATATGTAGGGGAGAGAAGAAAAACAAGAGAAACTTGTTATATATTTTTTCTTATTATTTTGAGCTCAACATATGGATATATATATAGGGTTGGAAAAGACGTTACAAAACCCGTAATTAATTCTGTAACGTTCGTCATAAATTTTGTAACGTTCCCCATAATTATATATCCGTTACACATATTTTAATTGTATGTTTTAATTACAATATTTATTATAATTCATGAAGGCAAAATTGCCTCTTGTTAACAAAATATCTAACAATTTCTTGTGATTTATACTAGTCATGCATCCATGATACTAGTTACAGGGTATACACCACGTTCGTTATCTTACCACTTGTCAGGCAGCTAGCTTGTTGACCATTGTGTTTTGTACATTATTATTGAACCTGGATATTACTAGGAGAGCTATTTGTGATTTTTACAACTTTTAGGAACTTTTTCAGGATTTTTTATATTTTAGGGAGTATTTATAATTTTTAAAACTTTTAGGTGATTGTTTGTAATAGTTTTAGGGGAGAGAGGGGTCCAAACAGCATCCGGTCATCAAAGGAAAAAAAAGAAACTAATCAAAAAAATCGTGCCGCATCAACAATCACTTAAAAAAAAAAAACTTACATCGATGACGGAGGTAACATTAGAAATTTTGTTTGACGACTTTCAGAGTTTAAGGACCCAAATAAATTTTGACGAAAAAATTAAGGACCTGAACTAAAATTTTGCATTGGTCATTTTATTGTTAATTATTTTTTATAGTTGCACTTGCATGTCTGTATGTGTGTTCGTTAAATTTCTTTTTCAAGAGTATCAACTTGGACCTTGATCTACTGCTATTTGTAGCCTCTCAATATAGTGTTTTACTAATAGGTTGAATACGGCATAGATGGAAGTGGTGTGGCTTTTTTGCCTGATAAAGTGAACCTACAATCATTTCTAAGTACAGAAAGCTCATATTCTGTTACAAACAATAATATTGTCTCAACCAAGCATGCACCAACATAATTTGTTCCAATCGCTTCGCATCATATTTAGAGCAACAAAAGATGACAATAGGAGGGAAGTTGTCATGTTCATTCCTCACATCATCATTATACACCCATTAACCCCCAGCTGGATGCAGAGATTACGTACCTTTTATTAGTTAAATGGCCTCAGGTTTGTTAAAAACAGTTCTTGATAATAATTTATAAAAAAAAAAAAGGCTTTGAGAAAATTATATAGAGTGCCGCTTCTCGCTTCTCATCACATAAAAACCATCCTTACAGTGGGGTCAGTAAATTCACACATGGACTTTGAGGCTTTTGCCCACGAGATCCCCAACTTTGCTACATCCCCTGATCTTTGGGGTGTTATATAGCCCCCTAAACTTTCATCTTTTTCCCGTGGACCTGCGTACATATAAATGACAAATAAGTGAAATGCTTGTTGGTGGGGTGGGGTGGGGGGGTGTTGGGGG